GCTTCAGGCAATACACGAGCAAACAGAAGAGTTTAGCTGGTAGTTCCGGCAGTGCCGAGTCCAGAGGCTCTGGCATTAAGTATTCAAACTTGCTTTCCCATTCTAGCTTTGATTCCTATCTACATATAATGCAATAGCAAGCAACTAAACATCCCAGTGTTTTTCAACCCAAGACAGAAGGTGAGAATACACACCCTCACAGTGAGCCCCAGGGAATGGGAGGGTGGTTCGAAAAGGTATAGTCACCAACTATTGTTTTCATAATACCGATGACAGAATTAAAGCTGAACAAAAATCTTAGCCCATGGGATGTGCTGAAAAAAAAAACACTAAGAACATATTTTCAGAAAGTTGATAAACACTGCCACTCCCTGACCTTTAGTCTGCTGTTAACTAACTGTGAAGCCCAGGAGATGCACAAAACTAAATTCAGCTGCATGTCTTGAGGTGCAATAGATCATTCTCAAGCCAGTGTTTTCCAAAAACACTCTCTGAAGCCTTACTAGTGTCAGTGTCAATGTTCTGGGAGAAAAGAGAAAATACAGAGCAGGAATTGCCATAAAAGGGAAACCAGATTCGATTTAAAAGATAGTCTTCTGTGTAGAGTCAGGTTGTCATCCCTATCTAGTTATAGTCCCATTTCAAATGTGAGGTGATGGTAGATGTCCTTCCTCTGGCTCTTGTGTGTGGTTCTCGGGATGAAACCCAGGACCTTGGGGATGCTAGACTAACCATCATCCCACCGTGTATTCTCCTTCCAACTTCCTCTCCTTTTTGTTCCCCACATCCTTTTCTTCTCTTCGTGGAAACCAGAGCTCTACTGTCATCTGACTAAAAGTCTTCAGGGTCTTCCACATTTTCACAGCTGCCTACACCTTCACAGCAATGATCTCACATGGGTGGTCTAATTTTACACAGACTAAGTTTCAGGGAACTACATACCAAGACCAACATCATACAATCAGTTAAAGAAGGACCAGACTCTACCTCTGTCTTTTTTTTAAAATCCTACATGCTGTCCAATCTATAAGTGGTTCATGAAGTTGGATTTGCCATAAAATCATAGTTTTAAAGACTCAGAAATCTTAAATTTGAATGACTAGTAGATGGGGCTTAAGAGCTGTGTCTCTTAAGTGTTTTCCAGGTGATTCTGGTATGGAGTCAAATTTAGGATTATTACCAAATCATGCTTGTCTTGGTGCACCTTGATGTGGCAGAAGGGATAGGCTCTTGGGAAACAAGCAGGACCAGGTAATCCTGGGCAAGTTATATAACCCCTTAAAGCCTCTTATTTCTGCATCTGTGAAATGGAGGTAATGCTGTATGACATGACAACCACAAAGATTTGGAAAATGGTATGTCAAGTGAGAATATGTACATATACATACATACATACATACATACATACATACATACATCTTGTAATCACCACTGCTTCAGTCAGAAGGGTGAACACCTCCTGCGTTGCTCTGTTATTACCAAGAAGAAGGAGGTGTGTGGCAAAAATATCAATGTTTCTAAGGTTTTCCTCATGTATATTTACAGTATATAGAGCCAATCCACTTATTAGCAACAGTCTCTAGGTCTCCCAAAGAGCACAGTTCCTCCTCTGCTAGGGTTGTCTTCTTATTAGTAAAGCCCTGGGAGTCCGCACTTCTGTTGTAGAGATGAATGAAGGATCAACTAGTTTTGAGGCAATGGCTCTCAGAAGGGATTAGATAAACAGAACAGAAATAAGTTAGTGCTTGTGAATGAGAAATCACTCTGCGTGATTTTCTAACAAGGTGAATATGCCATGATTAAAACACATATTCTTTATAGTTTGTGATTCATATTGTTGGTCTCATCGATGTTGAAAGCTGCTTTTGTGAAATTTTAAGGACAGACAAAAAGCTAAAAACCTTCAACAAATGGTGTGAAAGAGAAAGGGAAAGTGAGGTTGGAAATACATTTTTCAGAGAACTAGGAGAATAGGTTTATATAATTGCACATTTAAGTTACTGATTTCCAAGTGTGTTTTAAGATAGGGCTTTTTCCTGCTAAAAATGAAACAATAAATCACTGATATAAAGCTAACTAAGTGATTACTTTATAACCAGGATAGAATTTGTGTATTTTATCTCTGTAGAAAGGCATGTTTCAGCCTTTCTTTTGTTAATCAATCTCTCTCTTGTCCTCCTGAGAGGATACACAATGCACTTACGATCTCTATTCCTGCATCACCTCAGCTGCCTCTGCTCATCTCCATTCCTCCACCAATCACCTCTATCTCCCTGTCCTTATGTTCATTTCAGAAAATTTAGGTTGGCTTGACTGAAACACACATGGGATGCTGTAGAAGGAAGGATTCAAACTTACACCCTTTATGAATTCACATTAAGTTGCAGTTTTTTGATGTTTCCAGTGTGATTGATTTGATTTATTGTTTTTATCTCCCTTCTGGAGGAAGTATTTTCATTCCAGATTTAATTTCCTTTCTGTTCCTGCTGTCATTACCCAGGGAAGAGTTGATGCTTCAGTCCTCTTGGCTGGTACAAGACCTTCCATGAGAGAAGTCTCAGTGGCTCCAGGGCTGTCTACTTCAAACCTCTTATAATGGAGCCTATAAAGATCTTTCTAAAGAAGAGTTTTGAGTGTCTCTTTCTATTACTAAGTCTTTCCTAGACATTTACTGTTTGTTGTAGTCCTAGCTGCCACATATCCTACATGATCATTTATAAAACTACCTTTTGCTTGCTTTCAGTCTGTGATCCAATCTCTCTCCAGCCAAATCATGCTACTTTTAGTTTTCAAATGAAACCTGAGATTTACTACCTCAACACGGCATAGCTCCTTGCATGAGAAATAAGTCAGTAATATTCAGTTGCAATTTCTATGTGTGGAGTGCATTTATGGTAAACAAAGGTATAATTTACCTTTACTCCCAAAGCAAACAAATCACAATTGTGCGACTCTAACTTAAAGAGGCACACTCATAATTCACAGTAGAACATTATCTCTCTATATTTACTCATGTAGCAGTTTTTATCTTCAGCTGCTGAGATAGGATTTTTCATTTAGTTACCAAGGTACATGAGGCCAGCTGGCAGGAAGAACCAGGGAGAAAACTTGCCAGGTTGAGCTATCATGCAATGAAACTATTGAAACCTAATTTGCTGACCTGTCTTGTTGATTTTGGTTCATTTGCAAACATAATATTGTAGAAACAACACTGACATGGATATTAGAAGAACTGGAATTTAGTCCCATTTTTGACATGATCACAAGATCATGCACATTTTCTGATCCTCAGATTTTTATTTACAAGACACTGAACAGTGTGCACAGACAAGGAATCATAACCCCCTGTTTCTTGCAATTCATCCCTTTCCATATATTTATTTGCTTTATGATTTTTTACTATTCCCGAAAGTTTTACAAATTTCATAATTCCATTTCAATAAACCAAGAGTCCAAGATGGCAGTATTTTAAAAGATTTATTTTTACTTGAGTGTCTATGTATGTGTATCTATGAGTGTTTGCTATGGGTGTGCAGATGTTTATGGAGGCCAGAAGAGGGTGTCTGATCCTTTGGAGGTAGAGTTATAGGTGGCTGTGAACCTCCTAACATGGCATTGAGGAAGGGAGTTGAATCCTCTGAAATAGGAGGAGTCATCTTTCCAGCCACACTAGTACTATTTATAAATAATCACAAATATTTTTGCCAATAATTATAAAATACCACAAGTGTTGCTTTTAAAGGTATGTGGATACCTTCTAAGACCCCCTGCAATCTTGAGAAAAATAAAATTCATTACCTTTAAACCTAGGATTCATATATCACATACATAAGGAAACTTCTGATAGATATGTGTATCTCCTCTCCCTTCTCCTATCTGAAAAATGTTGAACATGCCCCCTCCTGCATCACTGTCCTAACACGTATGAAGGCTGACTGTATCCGCTTTCCTCTCTCTTGCATAAACTTTATCTCACATCTCATGTCTCGTAACAGTTTACACTGCATTTTTTCTTGTAAATAATCATGTAGATTTAAGTTTTAAATAAGTGTAAATTTAAAAGAGATCACTGAAACATGTTTCATATAAGTTGTTACAGATTCAGACTCGGTAAATATCCTCCCACTTGGGGCATGTAACAGAATGTGCTAAATAATAGCATTCAGGAAGCCTGGCGGGTGGTGGCACACACCTTTAGTCCCAGCACTCGGGAGGCAGAGGGAGGCAGATCTCTGAGTTCGAGGCCGGGCTGGACTGACAGCCTCCAAAACAATACAGAGAAACCCTGTCTCATAAAACCAAAAACCAAAAACAAAAAACAAAACCATTCAGGAAACCCGCTCACTCTACAACGTAGATTGTGCATCATAGTTCAAAAAGTGAGCCCTAAAATGCAGAAGACAAGTTCATGGCAAATGAACTAATAATTTATCATCTTACCAAGACTTCAAGTACAATGAATTGATACCAGAAACCAATCCCTTTTATATTCCTGGACTTTAAAGATTACCTGTCTGAAAACTATGCTTCTTATAAATTGTGTGAATTTTCAATATAGTTTCAGACAATAAGGAGGCATATTCTTCTACCTGAGTTACTTTGAATTTCTATGTAGATGAAAATGAGTGTCTGAAAACACACAATCCCACGCCCCACCCACCCCTCTGCCTCATTCTCCTCCTGCCTTCCTCCATCTATTCCTTTCCAAATTTCAGGGACATTTGAGCTACAGGTATTTCAAACTTCATCTTCAATGCATGGTATTCAAGAATTTGTATTCTCCCACATTCAAGTATCATTCAAGGAATAAAGAAACCAAACAAAACCAAACCCGCCTGTAGTCCCACATTTCCTTAACACTAACATGGAATACAGTAACCACAACATTCACTGAAATTACAATCTTCAAATCTACTACTCTTTATAAACTCTAGAAGGTAACTGAGTAACTCTGAGAAGCTTATTCACATATAGGCACAGCATTTCAGGACAGTACTTACTTGGCATAAGCCGCTGATGCACATATCCAGTGATTCTGTATAGCAACGGGTGCCATCTAAGACCTTTGGTGCTAGTTCAACGATCAGGCTGGTTCCTTTGGCTTGACACTTGAGTGAACATGGGTTGTCAGGGTCATTAGACACAGGAAGCCATTCATAAAACTGGCCATGGTACTTGACATCGTTATGAGCAGAACACTGCTGAGCTCGAAAATCACCTGCTTCTGGTGGACAGTCCTGGAGAAGTAGAGGACAAGGCACAAGTACACATTATAAGAATAATCTCAAATAGAAAATTGGAACATCTGTGCTGTCTGTGAAAGTCACAGAAAAGAAAGTGAATGCCCTGATTATTACAGATGAACTCATTGTGTCTCTTTAGAGGTTAGATGATTATTTTGGCCCTTGAAATGCAAAGACCTGGGGAAGAAATAACCTTTAGAGGTTTTCTTATTGAAGTCAAATGAGAAAGCAACTAGCTTGAAATAAAACTTTGCATTGACACGAGGGCAAAGTAGCCATCCTGAAATACTTTCTGAAAGATGTCTGCTCGCCCATCATCTCTTCAACATTATGACATTGCAATTCATTCTAATTTTCGATAGCTGAAAGCATTTTTGTCTCTTTCCATCCTGAAAATAAGAGATATGACACTGTTTATTTTTATCATACTGGGGATTGATGTGATGACTTCATGTACCATAGGCAAGAAGAAAGAGCTCTGTTGAACTATATCTCTAGATCTTTATATTTAAAAATTATGAGTATGTTTTTTTATTCTGAATGTGCATACCTGGAGCTGTTTGTCCTGAGTGTATGTATTTGTACCACGTGCATGCTTTGCACGTGCAGAGGCTCAAAGAGGATATCATATCTGGAACTAGAGTTCCAGAAGGCTGTGAGTTGTCATGTGGGTGCTAGAAATTGAACCCAGGTCCTCCAGAAGAGCATCTAGAGGTCTTAACTACCAAACTATATCTGCAGCCCCACCTAGACTTTTAAAGTTTATTTACTGATTGGTTGATTAGCAAGGCTACCCTTGCTTTTCACTCTATAGCCAAAGCTGATCTGGAACCTCTGCCTCAGCCTCATGAGAACTAAGATTATGGATGTAGCCATTATGCCTACCTAAAACAAATGACAAGTCTTTGTTTTCGTAGAAAAGTTATAACTTTATTTAAAAGTATGTAGGGTCATTTGTGACCTATCTTCTTGAACTTACATTTCCTAGGTTCTAAAATTAACATAGGGAACAATGAAGAGAGACAATCCTTTCTGTGGGAATTGCTTTAGGAGTTGGTAAGGCAGAGAAGAGAGGACACAGATGTTTTCCTTAGATGGATGTGTGGCAGTGAGACTTCCCATGCTCTGTACAGAGGCAATGATGACACTCTGCTCACAATGTTGTGTGAGAAGGTTACGGGGATAGGCCAGTCATTGACTGACATGAGGAAGATATCCAGTAGCAATTACTTTGAATAATTAATGAGGTGTTTGACAACAAAGACCTGGAGAATTAGAACATTCTATTAATTTAAATTTCAGATAATATTGATAGAGGCTGATGGAAAATAAAAGCCTCTGAATATATATTTCATAAGGGGAAACTTAAAACATAAAATTATTATTAACAGTGGTTATTGTCTAATAGATGATAAAACTCAGGAAGAGAAAGCAAAATCAAGCTTTAAAAAGGGAGAAATGGAGAGAAATAGGAGGGAGTTTTAAGAGGGGAGGGGAAATGGAAATCAATACAGGAGAGGTAGAATGGACAAATAACAATAAGGATGTTTGAAAAAGCCTTGAGGAATCATATTACTTTGTATTTACCTGAAACTACATGCAATACATGTAAGTGTGCATATGGATAAATATGTGAATGTATATATACCTATGCATGTACATGAATGCATATACGTACATAATATATTTATGTAAGTATTGAAATGACATTATAACACTTGGGCTGACAATGCTCCTCACAAGATCCACACACTGTCTAATAAAAACCGTAGAACCAGGCATGAGAAAACCTCTTTTGAGTTGTTGGTCAGTACAGTCCAAGAGACTCACATAACAGTATAGACCAATGTGATTACCCTCAGTTACCTCCCAAAGGTAGAAGGTAAAGTCACTATTGCTGAAGACGCCACCTCTGACATAGAACTCAGAAGATTCAAGTTGGATCTAACCTGGAAGGCTTCCTTCCTGAAGTTTAGTTTTCAAAGTATCAGAAGGTGCTAATTCAAGCTGCAATCAATAGCAGTACTTGGTTGTGACTTCTATGAATCACAACAATGACCAGCATGACAAGATCTTCCTAAAAATACAATAGTGGCACTCATATCTTGGCAGGAACCAATAGCTCTCTAATTGGACTTATGGCCTGCTCAACAGGAGGGAGATCATGCCTGCTAAGGGAAACATAGCCAACTACCAAGGATGGTGCAGCTCTTAGAAGAGAATGGAGTACTACACAGCGGAGAAAAACAATGGAATCTTTAAATTTGCAGGCAAATGGATGGCACTACAGGAAACCATCCTGAGTAAGGTAACCCAGACACAAAAAGACAAACATGGTATGTACTCACTCATATATGGATTTTAGATATGGATCAGGGGAGTGTCAGCCTACAATCCCAGTGCCAGTGAGTCTGGGAAACAAGGAAGTTCCCAAGAGGGATGCATGATATCCCAGAGAAGTGGAATGAGGCAAGATCTCCTAAGTACATTGGGAACATCAGGGGGAGGGGAGAGGGAACCAAGAAAAAGAGAGGGGGATAAGAGGAAGGGAGAAGAAGGCTTGGGGGAGCAGGAAGGTTGAATCGAGGAAAGACTAGAGGAGAGCAGGATGAGAGATACCACAATAGAATGAGTCATTATAGGCTTGAGGAGTGAGCTGACTCTAGTGAGATCTCCAGAGATCTACAACGATAACACCAACTAGCAAACTAAAAATAGTGGAGAGACTACATTAATAGTTCTTCCTTGATGATAGGGTTGATGACTATCCTATATGCCATCCTAGAACCTTGATCCAGGGATTGATGGAAGCAGAGACAGATACCCACAGCTAAACACTGAACTGAACTCCTGGAACCTAGTGACAGAGATGGAGGAGTGATGAGAAAAGGGGTCAAGACCATGCTGGCGAAACCCACAAAGACAGCTAATCAGATAAGGGGGAGCTCTTGAATCCCATACTGATGGCTGAGAGGCCAACAGGAGACTGATCCAGACTCCATGAATGTAGTGCCAGGGAGGAGGCTACAGAAATCACTGGGGCCTTGGGTAGTAGATCAGTGTTTACCATGGTTTATGAATGAGCTTTGGGAGCCCATTCCAAATAGAGGGGTGCTCTCTCAGCCTGGAGGGGAAGGGCCTAGGTCCTGCCCAGGATGAAATGACTGACTTTAGAGATTCCCCCCCAAAGAGGTCTCACCCTCCCTGGGGAATGATGTGGGGATTGGGTTGGAGGCGGAGGGACAAGGGAGGAGGGGTGGGAGAGGGAGCTGGGAATGACATGTGAAACATTCACGTTTCTAATTTAAATAAAAACATATATTGAGAGAAAAAAAGAGAACCTGCTCCCTTCACTTAATCAGATCAGCATATTCTTAGATATTTGGAAATTTATTTAAGAATATTCTAAAACCTGTTCTTATATGCACAGATAATTATAGCTCTCTAACTCTCCAACCAAGGAAACTCTCTTTGTAGCAGATGAAGACCATCACAGAAAACTAGTCAAAATGTAGAGATTTAATGATTGTGGCCTACCCAGAATTCCAGTAGATACAGCTGCAACACAACTCCTGCATCTGAAGCTCAGAGAACATCACAATCAGAAAGATTGTAAGAGCCAGAGAACCAGAAAATCTGCTGCAAAATTGTGTCTTTTAGAAGTGACAGGGAAGCTATAGCCATGATACCTAAACAATATGGCTTCCTAAATAAGAGCAGAATAAGGACAAGAGCAATACATATGCTAAGGTGGAGGGTGAAATCTCACAGGGCCCCACCTGTAGACAAAGAACTACTGACTGCTGAGAGAGGGAGAATTAGTCTTTCCCAGAGATGGAACTCTTAAATGGTTATATACTACAAAGTGGTCAGCCCTAAAATGATATACACACAACAACACTAAGCCAACTCAGCAGGTACAATTATATATATACACACATGAGTAACAGTAATAGTAATAACAGTAGTAAGTGTAATATTAATGATAAGAGGCCATGCATTTGAGAGGGAGTGATGGAGGACACAGAAGGGACTAGAGAGACAGGACATGGGAATGGTTGGAGGAAAGGAAGGGAGGGAGGAAAGGGACAAAGAGAAATAGGACTTTTTTTAGGCTGACTTCCAATGAGTCCTAATTTTGTTTTCTGTTGTTGTGTGCTAAGACATTTGGACCCAAACAACTTGAAGAGTAAAGGTTTATTCTAGCTTGGAATTCTAGGTCACACTTCATCATTGGGAGAAGTCAGAGCAAGAACTGGAGCAGAACCTGTGGAGGAATGCTGCTTCCTGGCTTGCTCCCAGACTTAGGCTTAGAAAGATTTCTTACAAAACACAGTTCCACAGGCCGAGAAATGGCATCATCCACAGTGGGCTGAGCCCTCCACATCAATCATCCATCAAGACAGGTTCTCATGGTCTTGGCCAGAGACCAATCTAATTTGGGTATTCTTCAATTGAGGTTCCCTCTTCTCAGGTGAGTATGTTCACTAGTTTTATCCCAGAAAACACCATTCTAACTTTGCTTTTTACTCATTTTAATTTCTACCACTTTGAGTCTTAAACACTTTAGGGAACATGTGAACACAGTTTATCCAGCAGAAGGAGCTGAAGCATCTGTGGGAGTTTCATGTCTTTATCGAGATGAGGGAGCATTTCCATTTACAAATGCGATTGACACTATTCTTAGAACTGGAAAATGCAGAAAATTATCTCTGGTTCACACTCTGACATCTCTTTTTTGTCAGTCTTCTCACCTGGAAAAGATGATTAACTCTGACTTTGGAATTCCCGCCACTTGTTCACTTGTGTCATAGAATAGAGAAGCAAAGATAGTTGGGAGAGGTGTTCTGGACTATTCGAAGCAATTCCCTCAATGTATAGAAAAAAAAACAAGATCCAAAGGAATTTTCACCTATATGTAATGGCTACATTGATGCATTTCATGATACTTTCTATAGCTGTAAACATACCCCTGAGAGCAATGATACACATAA